TGGGGGGAGGTGCCTGTGGCTGGCTCAGTGAGTAGGGCTCTGGCCCCATATACTGAGGGTAGCAGGTTCAAACCCAGCCCCGACCAAAACTGCAACAACTACAAAAAAATTAAATAAATAAAATAGCTGGGTGTTGTGGTGGGCACCTGTAGTCCCAGCTACTTAGGAGGCTGAGGCAAGAGAATCTCCTAAGCCCAGGAGTTGGAGGTTGCTTTGAGCTGTGACGCCAGAGCACTCTACTGAGGGCAATAAAAAACAATTTATTTAAATAAATAAAGAAAATTTAAAAATATATAGATAATACAAATTTTCTTCTGGGCTCCTATCTGAGTTTCCCAAATTTTATACAATGAGCATATATTACTTTTGTTGTTAGACAAAAGAAAATTTTAAAATGCCATTTTTTAATGGTCACCCATGAGTCTTCCCTGCTAAGAGCCCCAAGATCAAATGAGTGGTTTCTTGGCCATATCTTTCTAGTCTACTTGGCTCGTGGTTTCTTAAAGATTCTATCTTTTGGCTACAGGGAGTGTCCGTGGGCTAGCAAATTTCTGCTGGTAAAAGGCTACATTGAAGTCTTCCTGGTTTTTCATTACTTTTGTTTTCTCTGGCATGGCAAAGAAATCCAGGCAGAAATAGTGCCATTGCTGACAGCAGTTTTCACCAGTTTCTGAGACAGAGCAAAGTAAAAGATCGGAGCACAGGGGACGAGGTGGGATTGTTACGCACATACCTTGAGATCAAGTTTCGCCAAGCCTCTGGAGGTAAGCTGTTCTTGAGGAAATGCTTGAAAACCAAGATTTATAGAAATTAGAATCCTTTTGCGCGGGAAGAGAACTCAATTTACAGGCCGTGTGGGAGAACACTGAATCTTCTGGTCTGAGTAGCTTGATGTTAATTTCCTGCTGGCGTCACCGTCCCCTATCTGCCTTTTTCCCTCCCCTTTTCCCACAGTAAAGATAACCCTGACAAACAGCGTCTCCTAAAGGCGAATTTACAACTTTCTTTTCTCACGTAGAGTTCAAGATTTTCCCAGGTCAAGCCAAAGACTCCCAGAAATGAGAAGGCACTAAGGGCTCCAGGCTTTCCTTTGGGTCTCAGGTGACTTGGTAGGTCAAAAAGGGAAATTCTATTTTCCTAACCCTTTCTTTCCCCCAACTCACTTCACCTTTCAAAGAAAACCAAAAGCTCATGAAACAGTAGTTGATCATCTCAACCCTTTCTTAAATTCATGTATGTGCATACGAATAAACAAAAATTTTTAAAGATAAAGTGACAGGTTGTGGGTGAGTAAAAATAGCCACTTCTAAAAATAGCCTGGCTTTGTGGCAAGCACCTGTAGTCCCAGCTACTGTGGGGGCTGAGGCAAGAGAATCACTTGAGCCCAAGAGTTTGAGGTTGCTGTGAGTTATGATGCCACCACACTCTACCAAGTGTGACAAAATGAGTTTTTTTCCTATCTCAAAAAAAAAGATAAAATGGGGATGGCGAGTTAAGCCCATACAAAGATATTTGCAAGGAGCTCAACCAGGTAATGGTAAACAAAACTGACAGTGTCTGCTCCCATAACACATCCAATCCCGTGGCAGAGAGAGACCTTAAACACATTACTTCTGATAATAAAAACGCCAGATACTTACATTGCAACTACCATGTACCAGGCACAAGGTATTTACAAATATTTACTCATTTCATCATCCCAACGACACTCTAAGATAAATACTATTATTATGGTCCCTGCTTTAAAATGTGAAAATGAAGGCACAGAAAGATTAAGTAATTTGCCCAAGGTCACACAGTGAGCTACTGGTAGAGCCAAGATTTAAACTAGTAAGTTTGGCTCTAAATCACTACATTGTAATTAAGGTAACTCAGATGTACAGAGCTCTGGGAAGAGGTACAGAGTCTTAGATGTTTCATCTCTGGGGAGAAAAGCAAAATTAATGATACTTCAATTAGCAAATGTATTAAAGTGTTTTTTCCATGCCCCTAGGCATCACCCAGAGAACTTCTGTGTTTAAGAAAGACAAGCT